TGTTTTTATATTCTTTTTGCTTCCCTTCCCTTAGGTTCATCTGTGTCTTAAAGTACTCATAAGAGTGAAGTCATATGATATTTGTCTTTCTCTAATTTCTCTTAGCATAATACCCTCTAGTTGCATCCAGGTTGTTGCAAATGACAAGATTTCATTCTTTGTCATCGCTGAGTAGTATTCCATTGTATATACATGCCACATCTTCTTTATCCATTCACCCAGCGGTGGACATTTGGGCTCTTTCCATACTTTGGCTATTGTCGATAGGGCTGCTATAAACATTGGGGTGCATGTGTCCCTTCGAAACGGCACGCCTGTATCCCTTGGATAAATGCCTAGTAGTGCAATTGCTGGGTCATAGGGTAGTTCTATTTTTAATTATTTGAGGAACCTCCGTACTGTTTTCCAGAGTGGCTGCACCAGTTCGCATTCCCACCAACAGTGCAAGAGGGTTCCCGTTTCTCCACATCGTCGCCAACATCTGTTGTTGCCTGAGTTGTTAATGTTAGCCATTCTGACAGGTGTGAGGTAGTGTAAGATTTTCTCTTTATCACTGGTTTGAGCAGTTTTATTTTTTATTTTTGTTAACATTTTTTAATGTTTATTTTCGAGAGAGAGACAGAGAAACAGAGTTGCAAGCAGGGGGAGGGGCAGAGGGAGAGGGAGACACAGAATCCAAAGCAGGCTCCAGGCTCCAGGCTCCGAGCTGTCAGCACAGAGCCCGACGCGGGGCTCGAACTCACGAACTGCAGGATCATGACCTGAGCCAAAGTCGGACGCTTAACCAAGTGAGCCACCCAGGCGCCCTGAGCAGTTTTATTTTTGAAGTGACACGGTGTAATTTTCTTCATGTTTCTTGTGCTTGGGTCTGTTGATTTTCTTGCATCTGTGGGTTTATAGTTTTCATCAAATTTTGGGATTTTTCAGCCTTTATTTCCTCAAATAATTTTCCATCACTGCTTTTTCTTCCCCTCTTTTAGAGGCTCCGTTACACATATATAAGGCCATTTGAAGTCGCCTCACTGTTCATGGATTCTTTTTCCCCTTCCCTCTTTCTCCCCTCTTTTTCTTTACCTTCCTTTTTTATTTATTTTTTTCTTTTTTCCTTTTTCCTCTTGGTATTTCATTTTGGGCAGTTTCTGTAGCTATGTTTTCAAGTTCATGAATTTTTTTTTTTTTTGCAATGTCTAATCGGCCATTGATCACATACAGTGTATTTTTTATCTAATAGTTTTTATTTCTAGAAGTTCAACTTTGTTCTTTTTATATCTTCAGTGTCTGTACTTATCTTTTGAATGCACGGAGTCCAGTTATAGTAATAACTTTGAAAAAGTGTCCTTTCCTGCTAATTCTAACATCTGGGTCAGTTCTGGGTTGGTTTCATTTGACGGTGTTCCCTCCTCATTATGGACCATACTTTTCGTCATTCTTCGCCTGGACGTCTTTGACTGGGTGCCAGACGTTGAAAACGTACCATTTGGAGGCTGGATATTTCTGTGTTCCCATAAGTACTCTTGGCCTTTTTTCTGGGGTACAGTTGGCTTCCTTGGAGATCGTTCGATCCTCTCAGGTTTTGCCTTTATGAAGTGTTAGGTGTGGTGGAGAGCTCCAGCTGAGACCCGTCATCCCCACTGCGGAAGCAAGACCTTCTGAGAACCCTGCCCAGTGTGCCATGACTTCCGGGTCTCCCAGCCTGGCCAATGGGAATGAGCACCGCTCCTGTCCCATGTGAGCCCAGAGCCTCCCGCCCTGTCTTTCCCTGGCCTGGGGACATTTCCTTGCACTTGGCGCACCAACCTGTGCTCTGCTGTGCACCCAGAGGCCCCACACGCTTCTCTGTTCCTCTGCCTTCTGGACTCCAGGACTCCTGCTATGTGCCTGTCCTCCCCCCCTCCCCCTTCAGCCCTGTGTCCTCACTGAGGGGGTTCCTGGGGTTGCCAGTCCCTCTCCCTGTACCCGGTCCACCTTCTCTCAAGGCAGTGACCTGGGCAGTTATGGGGTCCACACCCTTTGTTTCCCGTCTCAGGGACCACTGTCCTTGGATCTTGAAAACCATCGTGTTATCATTATATTTTGTCTGCATTTTTGGTTGCTTCAGGTAGGAGCATAGATTGGTCCCGGGTGCCCCATCATGACAAGAGCGGAGGCCAATCAGACCATACTGGGATGTGATCCTCGACTCCGCCCTCCACTACCCTCCTTCCAAGTCAAAGTACTTGCAGCATCTGTCCTGCTCTGTCCCCTCTTCCACGGGGGCTGAATGACGGGCGTCACGGACGCCGCTCAGAGTCCACGCGACCAGGCCCTGTGCCGAGTGCCCCAGGAGTGTAGACCAGGGGGGTGGAGCCATCCCCCAGGTCGAGGTGGGGGCTGGGCCACAAGCAGCGATGTCTCCCCGGAGGTGGAACCGCGGTGAAGACGAGCCTCCGGTGTGACTGCTCTCGGCCAGGGCGACCCCCCCGCCCCTGAGCAGGTGAAACCCTGAGGCTGGCCAACAAGGAGAGCCCCCCAGCCAGAGGCACAGCCAGGTGCCCTCAGGCCCGGGATCCCCAGTGAGGGGTGGCGGTGCCGGGCAGCGAGGACGGCTCAGGTGAGGGCCAGGGGGACAGAGGAGCCGGGACGGTGGGCAGGGAGCGTGAGCTGGATACGGCCGTGGCCTCTGCCAGCCCTGCCCGCGCGGGGGGTCTGCTGCAACAGTCCTCATGGTGCCCGGCCCAGGACCAGGGAGGGAGAGACCCGGGTTCTTCTGTCCCTCCCTGGCTCAGCCTGCTTCTCTGTCCTTCCCAAGGCGAGGATGGCCGGGTCTTGAAGATCTCGGCTGGCGTCAGGTACGTGCAGCTTCCGGCCTACTCAGAGGTCAGCTTTTTCAAAGTGGACAAGGACAACCCGGAGACACCCTTCCAGACCCCGTTGTGAGTATGGGCGACCCCGGACGCCCGTGTGGGGTGGGAGACGAGGAGGAATGGCCCAGAACTACTCGACCCGGGCCCGTCCACACGTGGCTCCCACACCAAGGACTCTGAGGGCACTGGGGACACAGTAGTGACCACCAGACACGACATGCTCTGTCTAGTGGAGCAGGAGCAAAGACAGAGGGCCAGGGGGAGGTGGGCTGGGGCTGCGGCGTGGTTCCAGTGGTCCCGGACACACCGTCCCCACCCCCCCCACCGTTCCCTGCTTCCCACCACGTTAGTCTCCGAGTGGTCGCCTCGTCCCCTCCTCCCTGGAAGGACCCTTAAGCCACCGTGTCCCCCACAGCCAGGTGTCCCTCTCAGCTTGGCGTCCGGCAAAGCCCAGTCCCACCTGTCCCCTTTGCAGTGGCTTTGAGTGCATCGCCTATCCTCTGTGGAGCCCCAAGTCTGGGGCCTTGGAGCCCAGAGCTGCCCTGGAAAGTGCCAGAGGAGATCCACTGCTCCCCAGGGGAGACCGGGAGCCAGCAGCGGCATCAGACACATCTCGAGGCCAGAGGGACATCCCCGGTGGCCCTCCCGGTGAGTGGAGCTGACCAGCTGGTTGGCGGTAGCTTACGTGAGTGCTTCGGGGTGTGTGGGCTGATGGCGGGCGCCTCAGAACCTGGGCAGGAAGAAAATAAAGTTGACCCTTGAGAACTCAGGCACAGTGGCCCTGGAGGGGACAGAATGTCCCAGGAAGACAGTGCCCAGACCCGAGCAGGCTGGTCGCCATTGCTGTGGGTTACAAGGCAGGCTGGAGCTACCGCCCTGGGCACCAGACCCCTCGGGTGCACGTTCTTACTGTGTGAGCCCAGAGCCCGTGGTGGGGCTGGGGCACGGCAGCCCGGGGACCGCCATGGCGGCCGTCCTGCCCTCGCCACATGCACATCTGGTCACTGCCGGCTGTCTTGTTGGTGCACAAGAGCCTGGCGGTGCGGTGTGGCCCCTGGGCTGAGGGCCTCGGGCCTGTTTCTGCATCTGTCAGACCTTGGCGGTTTGCCTCGGCCACTGTCACCAGGAGGTCTGTGGCTGGATGGGAGCGCGCCCTCGTGACAACCCCCACCCGCCCGGGACAGGCGTCTATAGACCTAACGGTCGCCAGCGTTTGCCTGGTTTTCCGGCTGGTTCCGCCTCTGCCCGGAGCACACAGCAACTCCACATGCACCTGGCCCCACGGCTCCTGGTGCCTGACAGCTGCTGCCGTGGATGCCTGGCCCGGCTTCTCCATGGAGTCCTCTGGAACCACTGCCGGAAGCAGAGCACTGGAGCTCCGGAGGTAAATCAGAGTTTAATCTCTGCAGCTCACCGTGTCCGGGGACCCCGGGTCCCACACAAGCTGATGCAGCCCCACCGCTTACGTCCTAATGGGGGGAGCATGTGCGTTACCGGAGGCGTCCCAGCGAGCGTGGCTGTGGGTCCCGCCTGGTCCCCTAGCCACGGGAAGCAGTTGCATCAGGTCCTGTGGACCAGGGCACGGTCATCAGCGGGACTCCGGGGTCCCCACCGGGCAAGTTCACGCGCATGTTAACCACGGGGACCTTCACGTTCTCCTTAGCCCTTGAAGAGGGGCCGGTCCCCCATCAGGACCCCAGCCCTGGATGCCGCAGGGGGTGCTCCCAGGTCACAGCAGAACGGGGGGACTAGTGTTCTGCACCAGGGCCCGGGCCGGGCCCTCTGTGTGGGGGCGCCTCACACCCCAGCGGCCGGCGGGGGCCCCGAGGCTTGTGGGGGGAGGCCCGGGGGGCTGGCCACGACCCCTCGTCTGCTTCCCACTCGGTTTATAGAAGCAACTTTACGCCAAAGGGCAGAATAGGTCTCATGTTTCTGCGTAAAAACACCCTCTGGGCACCACACCTTCCACCGGCAGGGATTTCAGAGCCTGTGATGAGGTCTCCGTGGAAACCCGGCCCGGAAAGGGGGGGTCCGATCCGCGCCAGGGGGTTTGGTGTGAGCCAGACCCCAGCCATGCTTTCATCTTGAGTTGGGGTGCCCTTGCCCGCTTCAGGGGCAGACTCACCTGCTAACTCCTGAGGGGCTGGTGTGTCACGCACGACTGCTTGTGCAGCCTAAGAGGCGTTCCGGCTTTACTAGGGCAGGCGAGGAAGGAAGGCGTGGAGCCGTAAAGAGAATCTGCCCAGAACCCGGGGGGAACACGCCTTGGGTCCTATGAGAACCGCTCGAGCTCTGCAGCTGGACCCGAGGCCGGGTCCTTCCTGGAGTGCCTGGGGGAGGCTGAGCCAGGGAGGTGGCTGCTTCTCTGCAGCTTTTTTGGCGAGCCCTCTCCCACACCCTGTCTCCCTCTTCTGTAAGCGTGATGGGTGACGACATCTGCTCCCAAGCCAACATAGTGACCCCTCCGTCCCCTCCTGGAGTGAAGCTCAGGATATATCTCACACACAGGTCAGGAGGGGAATTAAGCCCAGTCTCTCTGGGACACTGCCACTGCGTCCCTGCCTCAGCTGCCCCGGGAGCTGCTTCGCCCGGGGGGCCAACCCCTCCAGACAAATGGCCAGGGAAGTGGCGGGTCATGGACACACTGGCCGTCTGCAAACAAATGGTCATTTCCATTGCTGCCACAGGTACCCAGGGGATAGAATTCGTGATGGCAATCCCGAATAATCACAGCTTGACCAGGGGAGCTCGCTCTGTGGGGTCAGGAGGCTGACATGGCAGCTGCGGGGAGGCGGGTGGTACCTGGAACCAGCGTGGGGTAGGGGAAAACGGAAAGCGGCCGGGACCGTGCCCAGGCTGGGAAAGAAGAAGGAAGTCTCTGTTGCTGTTTTTTATTGGCTCATTCTGTGACTCTCTGGGGACAGACGGCCTCAACATTCTGAGCATTATTCTGAAAAGATTATTGTGCGATGGAGTGTGGCCCCACGCGTAACTTGGTGAATGAACCTCCGATGTTCTCAGGCTGCTCCCGCCCTCAGTTACACTGCTCCTGAGCTCACTCGACCCCTTCCGACAACACAGCCCGGCTTCAGCTCCTCCATTGGTTCCTTCGTGTGGATGTTCAGGCTGAGTTGCCGTCCCCACCCAGTCACTGGGGTTTCATTTCCTGTGCCTGCAGCGCTCTATTAAGCCCTTCCTCGTCATCTAAATTATTTCCCTAAAGTACCTGAGCAGCCAGTCGATCATGCCCATATTCCCGACAGCTGGAAGCATGAACTAAGGGCCCTCCTTTTAAAGCATAATTCTTCCTGGAAAAGCGTGCCGTTGCTTCCATCGCCCGTCGGCCAAACAGTGGCGATGACCGCACCAACTGAGCCTCGGAGGAGGCAGGAAGCGCCCAGTGTGCCGGCCAAGACCAGGCTCTGTGGCGGGAGAACCAGGGGAAGACGATGGCGTTCGATCAGCCGGCGCCTTTGCCCTGACAGTCTGGGCCTTGGCGATGAGCAAACCACACCGGCAGCCAGGCCTCGCCCGTCCGAGGCCTGGCCAGGCGAGCGGGGCCGAGGTGCCCTCCCTCTGCAACCCCGCACGGGAAGGTGTCCCTCTGGCAGCGCGCCCCGTAGCTCCTAGCTCGCCCCTCACGCCCAGAGCTACCACCGGGACTGTGAGGAGGCAGTGACGAACTTAAATGGGAAACCGGGGGGCCTGGGCTGAAAAACGCTCCTTCTGTGGGGCAGGAGGTGGGGAGGCAAAGGGGAGACCCCACAGCGTGAGGGGAACTGACGAGGGCACTCAAGTGGCGGCTGACCCGTGTGGGAGAAGCTGGCACCTTCAGCACGCGACCCTCGCGCGCTTGTTGCCTTGAGGACCAGGCTTCTCGGCTTCCTCCTCACCCACTGTGAGGCGGTTCAGGGCGATAAACCCTCCAAAAGCCACCCCACTGTCTAATCACACCCCCGAGTAGGAGTGAAGCAGTGAACCCAGAGAAAATACTTCCAGGAGGAGTGTGTAAGCTTCCACCTTGAGGAGACTCAGGATCTCCTTCTCCCACCCCAATCTGAACTATGCCATCCGCGGTTTAACTTCGAGCTTTTGCTTTTCAGTTGAAGAAAAAGGACAGTTAGTGAAAAGTGGTTGACCAGGCCATAAAGAAAAGCCCTTCAGGCAGTTGCAGCCCCAGTGGTAACAACAAAAGCTGATAATGATGTTAAGGGTTCACAAGGGTGCCTATGACCCCCAGGCACTTAACCTTCTGTGGTTCCATACCGGCCTTAAAGCGAGGACCTTTTGGTGCTTTACAGAAGAATGGCGGCGTCCGGGGAAGGCGATCATAGCCCCCCTAACGATCAATGAGCCCTCCAGTCCTACACGCGGGGTGCGTCATAATGGTAGTGGCTGCAGGGACACCGGAAAGAGCCGGAACCCGCTCGACCCAGACAATCCCCGTAATTGGATTTACTTTCCGATAAAGCCCCTAACGAGAACCTCATTAGCGTGATGGAAGTGTGTGTGTGTGTGTGAGAGTGAAATGCACAAAACCACTCCCAAGGAAATAGTTCAACTGATCTGGTAATTCCTCTTTTCCATTCATTGAACACCTTGGTTTCGACATTCATCAGTCTTGGTCTGTGAAAAGAATCATCCCCCTAATTGTAGATGATTTTAATCAAAAGGGTACCTTACCTTCCACTATTACGATCTTACACCCAATAAAAGCGTCCCACAATGTATAGCAGAGAACTTCTGGGAATTTCATTGCCTTGGGGGGGGAGGGGAGATGCTTGCTTGTTTACAATATTAGTAAATTATTCCTAGTTGAGTAATAGTACATACCATGAAAGATCCTTGCTTTTAAAGGGAAATCTGTGCCGTGAATTTCCTGTGGAGGAATCCTACCGGGGGGGGGGGGGGGGGGTCGTCCCAGACAAGTACAGGAAAATCCTATGGTGCCTGCAGGCAATGCCGTGAGCAGGAGATACACTTGCTCATCAGGGGCTGCGTCCGTCTGAAACCCTGGGGGTGGGGGGGCCACGCGATCTGAGACCATAGCCCGCGGAGTGAGCCCCTCCCACAGCCTTGGCCACCCTCCCCAGCACCTCTCCACCTGCCGCTCATGGGTCCTGGGGCTGCGTGGGCACAGCCACAGGGCAGGAGCCCCAGGAGCACCCCCGGGACCCCTAACAGCAGATCTCTGGGGGGCCCCGGAGAGAAAGGAGGGAGGGAGGCTGGCCTGGGCTTGCGTCAGGTGCCGAGATCTCGCGTGGTGGCCAGCCTGCGCCCACATGGATGTGCCTGGGGGGGTGGCTGCGAACACGGCTCTAGAAGGCACGGATGTGCCTTCAGCAACCCAGAACCATCTTGGATTTCTCTTCGCCCCTGACCGCGGCCTCGGAGGCCTGTCCCCCCAAGGGGGGACACATGCTGACACTGGCAGTGAGGATGCCCTGCCCCAGGGCAGGGTGGGCCGGGGTGGGTGCCCTTCCCTGTGGCCTAGGGACAGGCCCCAGACCGCTTAGGGCCACCAGGCCGGCCAGGGACGGAGACTTCGTCTGTGTCTTCGTCTGCCTCAGGCTTAGCCTCTGACAGTTGAGCCACAGAGGGGAGGGGACGTGTCCCACCTCACCAGCTGCCCCTGTGCAGCCTGCGCT